TTTTTTGCATTTTAAATAAATGGTGACAAAGCCCACTGAAACTCCTCATTCAGAAAAATGGTAAGTGGGTTAAAAAATTTATTTCTCACATATATGAGTTTTTCTAGGTGATACATACCATTTTGGCAGAAAATCTAATAATAATACCAACATTTACAAACCTCCATTTTCAAAATGCTCTCTTCCTAACAGGACTATTTTGAAAAAGGCAGTTATTTCTTACTTATTGAAATCATCACTTTTTTGAAGAGATAGAGTGCATCTATTTTTTTAATATATTATCTGCTATGTAGAAATGACTGACATCCATTTGCATCACTACAAAGGTCAGCAAATGTGGGACACTTGTCTTTTTGTAAAAGAAAATCTTATCTTTAAGCTTCAAAACTCTTTTAACTATTGCTGGGAGATAATCAACAAATCTCTGTGTAGTATAACACTCTCAAGTTCACCCCCAGACTTTTCATTACAAATTACATTATTTAAAGCCCTGTGTCTATAAAACTAATCACAATGATGATACCCTATAACGTGTAATCTGCACTATGTCATGATATACAGAAGACAAAAGAAAAAATGAGGATACTCTCACCACGGACTGCCAACCTCCCCCTTAGTCAACCTTGAAATCATATACAATATGTCACCTACATCAAATTCAAGGGCCATTTATAAATATTAGTAAAGCTTAATTTCCTTCTTACATTTGTAGATTAAAACAAATGGAAAGTTTTAATGTCGTCTTTCTAACCCCAATGGATTGACTTGCATCTTTAGTCCTCAGCTCTCCAAAACATCTGCTTTGGCACCATCCCCAGGGGCAGCCTCTCCTGGGGACCCCATGCTCCAAAACTGCTTCTCACTCCAACCTCTCCCCTTTCCCTCCACCCGACATGAAATGCTAGGAATATCAAGAGCTGACGAAGCAGTCTTGTTAAAATATATCAAAACCTCAGGATTTATGGATTTGTGATTCTATTTCAAATATTCACTTTGCAAGCTGAGCCTTCCTCCCAAGCACTTGATTCCTGCACTCTCCAGATGCTTTTGTCACTGAGCAAATATTATACTTCAGTGACACTGCCTTGATTTTTGTAGTGTGCCCTTTTAATCTGGCTCCTCAACATTCCGTATTCTCCTATCTGCTCCATAAATTTCTCTGTGTTAAAAATTCGTAATATATGGGATTTCTTCATGCTGCTCCTCACAGGGAGGCCCCTTTGACTTCCACAAAATAGAAAAGAAAAAAAAAGTATAGAATCAGCTCCCTAGGACAACTCTCTCTTCTTTTCTTTTATTCCAAGGAGGCCAAAGGCCCTATCTCCTGATGCCTGATTCCACCTTGACCTCATACTGCATGAATCCTCATTTTGTAAACTATAGCATAATGCCTTGTCTACAAGGCAAAATAATGCCTTTTTCCATTCACTTTTTTTTTTTGAGACAGAGTCT